AGCTATGGTTAAAAATGATGTCCTTAAAGATTAACATGTGCCTATAAATTGTGATAAAACACCTGTGATAGTAATCTATGAGTATACAGCCATATTAACAGTGCCAAGCATGGGAAATAGATGCATTAGCTAACCTTGTGTCAAATTTCTCATTCTAAGGCAAGAAATTGGATATAAAATTTATTGAAAATGAGCACATTTTCTATTTGATTTTCCTTTAAAAATCCAGATGGATTTGAAATTGGAATTACAGATAATGCCATATAAGCATTCCTAATGATGTCAGCTCCACTGGGATAAAGTGTCTCACCCCAACCCCTCAGATGGTCAATTATGACTTAAATCCTTCTGAAAGCTCCCTTAAGGCTCCATCGTTATCTAATGTCAATTGTTCAATTATAAATCAGGTTGCAAATGTCTCCAAATTCTGAACACTGAAGAGGTAAATGGGGAAAAAAAAACTGAGAAGTGGAGAAGAACCAGATCAATTTGGACTTTCATTAAACTACACATAATTAACACAGAACAGATGCTTCCCAATTAATTGTGCTGGCTTCAAACCTAGGAAAATCTTTACTGAGTCTCTCGGACAGTACTTAGCAGGGGAAAAAAGCCATTAGAACAACTTATATTCCATAATCATTTATCATAATATTGCTTTAGACACCTACATTCTCTTTGTATATGATAGAATTAACAGCTACTCAGAAGCATATACTTCCATCTAAGAGTTCAAGATTTAAAACATACAATATTGAAAATAACATGTGAAAGGTGAAAAACTTCTAAGTTAGATATGAAGCAAAATCTTGAGAGAACACCTTATTTATTATGTGTAATTATAAATTATATAAACTTTATAGATACACATGTATAATATGTGTAAATCTAAGTGCAAATACTCTACATCATTCATAAAATATTAGTAAAAGAATAAACCTTAGCATTATAGAATATATCACAAAATAAGAAAAGGTCTAATGGACCCTGAAGAAAAAACATCATCTACTAGAAAAAAAGACTGCCTACACAATAAATCCAAGAACTTTAAAAGTTTTCAAAAAGCAAAATTTCAAAGAATGTATGGTCATTACAGTGTCTAACATATTGTTTCTAGCTTTAAAGAGTTAAAAGTATTCATCCTTTCGTTCCCTTCAAAAACTACAATTTTTAAGGATTTTTCTATATCTTTACATGAAGAAATCAAAAAGTTGTAAGAATGAAAATTTAATTGGAGAGAGAATTGTACAATCTAGCTACTCACAAAACACACTAGTCTAATGTATGTCAAAGTATTCATAGTAAATTAAGACTAATTTTGTTTATATTTTCAATTTTTTCCTAAAATTTTGACGATAGCATAGCATTAAAGATCTTTCAAGTAAGATTCTCTGTGAATTTGGTTGTCAGTCTGTTATTCAATAGATATCTGAAATTTTATAAGGTGCATAAAACTGCTATGTACCTCAGTGACACTATTTAGAAAATAATGATAATAGCATTTAAACAGTAGTAGTGTTGTAGGAATCCAATTATGTGAGAGAATCCAAGAAAAATATTTACCAAATTTGCTTAGTACAGTGCAGACAATTTCAGTTGTGCTAATCATGATAATAATATAGATATATACACTATGGGTTAAGTGAATAAACAAGGTTTGGCTAATTTTTCAATTGACTAGCAAGAGTTGGAAATATTATAAATCGAAAGCTGAGAAGACCAGGGGAGAAAGCACAGAATCAATAGCTTGATGAAAATTATAACTCTGTAAAAGTGTGACAGATACTGTTGTCATGATTTGGGGGTTGGAGAGAGGAGATAATCCAATCAAATACGGTAGATTATGGGTGCTTTGGTGACGAGTATGATGTGCTATCACATATCTGAAGAGTGGTGAATCTGTGCCTCTTATATAGCATATATAAGAGGTACCTGTGCCTCTTATATGAGTATCTATGGACTATATAGATATTAGTATTTTAGATGTAGTATTTGAAACCAGTGTTTCCCCAATTAAAAAAAATCAAGAATAAAAACTAGGAAACAAAGTAAAGCAAATTGAGTCTGTGATTAGTGAGTTTTTAAGTCCTTCCTGCTTCCCAGCATCTTCTCTCTCTTTCTAGAGTAGTTAATTAACTTCAGCATTGAGGGATAAAAGGATATACCACAGGAAATCAAAGAGTTGTTATAACCCAAAACAATGCCGAGAGTCTGTGTTGGAGGAGAATCCCTTCAATGACAGAATATGTCATCTGCAGTAAAATGTCATTGTGAACTTCTTCTGGGACAAACAGCTTGAATGCTAAGACACTAACATCCACATCCATATGTCTCAGTGTATGCTTTGCCAAGATGTCTGCTTGCCATTTGCTCTGTCTATACAATGCCAAACACCCAGGTGAAAAGTGAAAAATTAAGTCAGTGTTTCTAAACATCCAGATGTTTGGCACAAAGTAAGTACAATATCTGGATGCATGACAGTGTTTCTCACATTTTCATCTGACTGTTTAGCATCACGTAACATGAACCATTGTTTAGATGCTTAGGATAAGAAAACAAATAGAGAACATGTCACAAATCTGTACCTTTTCTCTAAAGTATTATTAGAGAATCTTGGTCTTAAAAAGGGCTTTAGAAGAGATCTAATGTAACTTCCTCCAATGTCTTTGTGGTATCTCCGCAAGTAATTCCAGGGAACTCCAGAAAAATATGTTATATATTAGGAAAGATTAACCTTTGATCTCTGGTTTTAGGTTATAAGCACGAATACAATTTTATTCTAAAGGTATTGATGGGGTGATTCTGCTGACCCAGATCTACTCATTTTAGTCCTGAGGGGGCAAATTTTTGAAGGGTGAACTGTGAATCCTCACTCTGGTCTTCCATGACTGAGCAATTGTTTCAAAATTCCTTGTAATGCTTAATTTCAAAATGTAAATAATCTCACACCTGACAGAGGTTTTTTTGTATCCATGTTTCTGGTAAAAGATATATGATTTCTTTGGCTATATGGATGTTTACTTCCTGCCTCCCCCAGTTTGATTTTATTTGTATAGCTGATTAAAACAGATCTCATCCCCACTAGTAACTTTGAAAAACTAAGATTGTTGCCATTAAGTAAAGTTCAATTATTAAAATGCAAGCTTTATTTTGGTAATATGAATGAAGTGAAAAATGCAATAGAACTTGCAGATTTCTATTATTTTGCTGTTTCTTTTCTGTTAGAGGAGTTACAAAAGAAAAAAAAAACAGTAAGCTACTTGAATAGTTTATGACCTCTTTAATTTACCTCCTTCTTTACAGTTTGGGGAGATTTCCTTATACTTTCTCTATGTAATTACTCATTGTAATCCAAATTTTCTTTTATGGAGATTGAGTTATACAAGCAAAGCAAGTAAGATAGTCTTTAGGGACTGCAACAGGCAAGTCACTTTGGATTAATGTAGGTCTTACAAGTGCAATATGAAAGTTGTAATGAAACATATGGGAGTCTGGATAACTTACTTCAGTATACTAAAGACCATCACATATATCCCAGGGGTGAAGTCTTGGAATATTCAAAGTTCAAGAAGACAAACTGAAGAAATACCTCTTTATATCTGAAAAAGTCTGATTACAATGTGCTTTGGGATTGCTGGCAACAATTTTAATTTCCTGGGTTTGTCAAAAAAAAAAAAAAAAAAAGAGGAAAAGAAAGAATGCAATAAGAGAAAATACCATAATGTCAGGATGTGGTCATGAGTAAAACTACTGGCAATTATTCAGGCCTGATTAAAGTGGTGGAGAAATAATCTATATAAATAGTATGGTGTTTTTCTTCTGTAAATGAATGATTAGAAAGCTTGCAAAGTTCATTTCTTCAGTGCACGATAGACTCTGAGACTGTGATACCAAATACATCTTACTTACTGTTCTGCCTATCAAAACATATTTTGTAAAAAAAAAGTAGTGTCTAAAGATGGTCAAGTGTGAGTAGTTGTTACTTAGGAACAAATATAACTCCTACCACTGTTATGTATTTTATTTATTTATTTTTTATTTATATAATAGCTTGGGTACAGGTCAGAGGTGCGGGAGGGTGAGAGGATTCACCAGAGACAGAGTGGGGAGCAGAACAGGCAGACAGACCGAAAGCACTGCTGAAGGGAGCAGCGGGCATGACAGGAGAGGTCTGCTGTGCCATGTGGGTATCTCCCTGGCTGGCCAGGGATTAAACTAGTGCTGCACAGGCTGTGGACAGCTTCACAGCACTGTGCCCAACCCAGTGCGCAACCGGGGAGGCCATGTTCTGTATTTTAAATGAGAAATTGCAACATGGATGGCGCTGGAAGGGATCATGCTCAGCGAAATAAGCCAGAAAGAAAAAGAAAAATACCGGACGATCTCACTCATAGCAGGAATCTAGAAAACTTAAATAAGGGACCAAGAAAATGAATAACTATAAGAAAGTGAAAATCAAAATCAACAAAAAACTATGAACCAGAGACACTTTTTGGGGGGTGGGGGGCGGGAGGGGAGGGATTGGGGTCAGAATGGTAGGGTTGCAATTGTATGGGGAATATAAAAATAAAATTTATTATTAAAAAAAATCAATAAAAAGGCAAGCTCGTAAAAAAAATGAGAAATTGAATTCTTTTCAATTATTGGGTGAGATGGGAAAGTAGTAAACAATGTTTTAAATCTCTAGAATTCACTTTATGGTAATACTGCATTAAACACTTCAACACTATTATTCACATGGCCAATTAGAGTAAGAGGGCACACTATCATATAATTCTACAAGGATCATGGACAGAACAGAAGAAAATGGGCTACTCAGCACCAGTACTGCTGTATTTTATCTAATTGCACATGGCCTGTGTTAGCTAAGATAAGGGCATCTCCTGTTATATCAAAAATAGATAACAATTCCTGAAGTTGATAATAATTGACAAAGAAAAAGATCATACTGCAAATGACAAGATGCCTCAGAGGATTATCAAATTTTTTATCTTGAAAAGATTGGATTTTCACAAGACTATCAAAGAGGAGGAGGGAACTGAGAAGAATAAGAAAAACGAGACAGTTAATTGAATTTGAAAGACACATTGACTGTCAACAAGGAGAAAATGAAGGAAATTGCACAGGTAATTCAAGGAAACGCTTCCGAAAAGATTTGACTTTTCAGTTTATAGTGTGTGTATGCAGTGTATGTGTGTGTGTCTGAAAGAGACTGAGAGTTGAAATCATCTTAATATGAATGATAAAGCCAAAACTATTCTCACCATGGTTTTTAGTCAGATAAGAAAAATATTCACTTGTGTAATGAAGTGGAAAGTATATTGTCTTAAGAATTAGGAAACCTGAACTTTGCTGCTCACTAATTGTATAACTTAGACAAGACTCTTAAATTTAAAATCATGGTTTTATTTTGGTTTTTTTTTTTTCTGTTTTTCAGTGGTCCACAGTATCTGTTATTTAGTTACTTAGAACTCAGGCATGCACATATATATCATCTGGTATTTTGTTATAAACAAATTCAGTGAAATAGTTGATTTGAAGTATCTTCAACTCAACAATCTAACAATTTGGAATTTCATCACAAAAGCAAAGTTCAGAAGTGAGATTGCTAGATCATATGATAATTCTATTTTAAATTTTTTGAGGAATCTCAATACCATTTTCCACAATGATTACACCAATTTACATTTTCATAAATAGTGTGCAAGCGCCCCCTATTACCCACATTCTTACCAACATTTGTTATGTTTAGACTTTTTTGATAATAGGCAACCTAAAAGGAGGCATCTCATTGTGATTTTTTATGTGAATTTTATGATGATTAGTGAGTTTGTGCATCTTTTCATGAACCTCTTGCCATTTATACACAGTCTGAGAAAAAGTGTCTATTTAAGTCCTTTGGCCAGGTTTTGATCAAGTTATTTGGGTTTTTTTGCTAATTGGGTTATTTGAGTTCCTTATATAATATGGACATTAATCCCTTATCTATAAATGGTTTGCAGATATTTTCTCTTATTCTATAAGTTGTTTTTCATTTTGATTGTTTATTTTGCTGCGAAAACAAAATTTAGTTTGCTGTAATCTCACTTATTTTACTTTTATTGTCTGTGCTTTTAGTGTCTAATCCAAAAATTCATTGTCAAGACCAATGTCAAAGTGAAACTGAGCAAACCCAAGGGATGTCCAAGTTAGTGGTTCTTATCTACATTCTTATGATTGCAGGACATCACCCAAGAGCAGACACACAGTGCGAAACAACAGTAAGACAGAAAGGATGAGAATTCACAGACGGGCAGGCAGATTGCCACAAGACATCTGTCTTATAGAGAATCTGCTTAACTGAAACCAAGGCTCAAGTCAAAGCCATACATGGCAAACTGGTGGCTTCTCCACGGATACCCCTATTCACAAACAATTCACCAGGATAAATCCCAGGTATACAACTGCCAAAGCACCAGCAGTTCAATTGCCAAAAGTCTCAACTGTTTAAATTGACAAAACCCTTCACCCTGGCCATATTTCCCATTAGCCCCCACTCAGAAGCTGGCTTTTGAGAAGCTCTACCTTCTACCACTGAGTTGGTGTCAGGAAGTAGAATTTAGAAAGTCCCACTTTCTGCGACCAAGTTCACTATGGCTGGAAGGTTGCTCCTCACTTTTCCTCTTATAAAGGAACTTCTCTGCTTTATTTTCTTCTAGAAATCTTAGTGTCAGTCTTACATTCAATCCATTTTGAGTTGAATTTTGTATATGATGTAGATATTCTTCATGGATGTTCAGTTTTCCCAACAGCATTCACTGAAAAGTATTTATTTTCCTGATTGTGTATATTTAATGCTTCATCAAAAATTGACTGCATATGTGTGTGCATGTAGGGTAAATGATTTTCAGGCTTTTCTGCCCTCCTGCCATTAGGATTGCCCTGTCTAATGGGGCACCTGCATTTTGTTACATTGTTGTAAGTTATGTTGTTTACCTCTGTGGGCCATGGCAACAGTATTGAGATATTTGCCAGGAGAAACAGAGGCAGGAGAAAGAGGCAGGAGAGAGAAGGGGAGAAATAACTCCAGAGAAGGCCAGCATGAAGACTTGCCAGGGGCTTAAAGGCCGGCTGGGCTCCAGCCCCCCCCCCCACCACCCATGCCACCCCTGCCTGCCATGTACCTGGTTGCTGCACTACATGTAAAAGCTCAATAAAAGCCTGAGAAAGCCACCAAGGTCTCCAGGACTCACCTTTACCTGGTCTGCTCAGATCATAGACAACCTGCCCTGTGCCCATCTTGCTGCTACAGTGCATCTATATCTGTCTGTCTGTCTGTCTATCTATCTATCTATCTATCTATCTATCTATCTATCTATCTATCTATCTATCTATCCTATCTATTTATCTATCTATCTACCTACCTATCAATCATCTATCTACATATGGGTTTATACTTGGACATTCTATTCTGTTCCATTTAGTTAATATTTTTGTGTTTTTTCCAATACCATATTTGGATTACTATTTATAGCTTTATGATATAATTTGATACATATATAGAGAGAATTCTGCTAAAATATATAACAATATTAATATTTCAATATTCATTTTTGTGACCTAGTGACCAAGTGAATGTGCTGAAACTAATTCCTCCTGTAAGCACCTGTCTTAGATTATAATCTAAGAGTCACAAGTAAATGAGAAGCCCTGATATGCATCTTCCAACATCTCCTGCAACACCTGTGACTGATAAACTCCATTTCAAGTTTTTTAACATGATTTATGTCAGTACCCTAAGGTTATAACAAACGTTAATTTAACAACGTTACAGCAATATACAATAGAATATTATATAACCTTTAAAAAGAAGGAAATCCAAATATACCAACATAGAGGACATTATGATAAATGAAATAACTGGGACAAAGACAGGTACTGTGTGATCTAACTTATATGTGAAATTTAAAATTAAAAGAGTTGAACTTATAGAGCCATTTGGTGGTTATCAGGTTCTGAGGGGTGGCCAAAATATGGAAATATTAATCAAAGATTACAAAGTTGAAATTATGTAAGAGGAGTCCATATGGAGATCTAATGTATAACATGATGACTATAGCTATTGACACTATGTTAGATACTGGAAATATGTTAAAACAATAGGTTTCAGGTGCTCTCATCACCAAAAAAAATTCATAGCTTGAGATATACATTAACTAGCCTGATTATGGTAATCATTTTAGTATATATGCATATATATACATATATTTTACTTTTCACAAATGTACATATATTAAGTAATAACTTGTACACCTAATATATATGCATATATATGATTTTTATTAAAATAAATAGTGAAAGGAAGAAAAAGGTAAAGCAAATACAATAATTTGGCACAGTTGCCTGCTTGATGGTATGAATAATTAAAATTGTCATGATATTAATTGAAGAAAGCCTACTTTTCTCTGTATAATATCAGTATATTATTATATACTTGTATCACAAATATTTTTGTGATATTACTAGAAGTTTCCTAGCCTAAGTGTTTATCCTCCAAACTTAATGTAGATGTCATGAAGGTCAGCCTTAATTTTCTTGATCTGTATAAGGATCTAATAAAATAAAATCAATTCTATATCTTGCATTTTCTTCTCTGTATTAAACTATCTCTCATACGAATGATAAAGACATCATGGAAATGGTCCTGAATTAGTTAATAATAAAAATTTTCTCCCTGAAAGAAATTAATATGTCATTTTGAATACAATTTACTATTACATATTAATTTTAAACAGAATATCAGGCAGGCTCAAGTAAAGATGTTATAATAGTGTCCACAAAGTCCCTCCCTATAAGACAATAAGAAACTTGCATACTTAATTATTATTACACATCAATTATCCACGCATTTGGAAATAGCAAGCTAATGCATTATTTAATTTAACAACAGAATATAAATGCTTCAAAATGTCATTTAAAAATTTTTACTTTAAATTCTCTCTGTATAGAGAGAAAAAAGATGGCAACAAGATGAAGGAACTGGACTTACTTCTCCTTATACTCCTACCTAGCTTGCAGGAAAATGAAGTCAATAACTCCTGCAGGAGGAAGCAGACCACACAGCATACACTGGGAGCAAGGTCCAGAGGACAGGACCCAGCACGCAGTGGAATGGGTCAAGCACATAGACGACCATGTGAGTTGAACTTAGTGGGGCTGGCAGGTCCTGCAAGCAGCAGAGCAGAACTGGCAAGTGGCCCTGAATCAGCAGCCCTGGCAGACCCCAGTGACCTCTGAGATCAGAAATAGAAATGGCCAATTCATGATAGACTGGCAGACCCAAGTGAACCCTGGGGTGGGACCTGGAGGTAGTTACTGACTAAACAACAGAATGCCTAGTAACAGATACAGAGGAAGTTGAAAATTATCAAAGAGAAGATGTGAAGTACTAAGAACTAGAACAGAAGAGAAAGAAATTACAGGGATTTGGGATTCCATTGACTTTCTGTGATATGAACAGGAGCCAAAGACTTATTAAAAGTACCTGCATTCATAATCATATTTACTTATCTTTTTCCATTAGATTAAAACACAGGGAAGACAGGACTGATTTTTTCAGAATGATCTGAAATGCTAAGGAATCACACTGTTAAATCAGGAGGCTGTCAAAATTATCTCATTCAGAAAGACTAACAAATGGAAGCTCCTATCCTGGATGAGAGATGCTACTTACGCTTGTCACTTTCTACTTCCTAGTTGTGTATCAGAAAGTGAAATGAAACTGAACAACTCACTCCAAAAAGCAGCAGTTTAATTTAATGTTATTATTTTTGTTCTTTTATATCCAAAAGGACAGGTTTATTATAAAAAGGGAAGGGAAGTGGACGCTTGCACAGACACAAGCAGGCAGAAAGTGCTGCCCCTGAAAGGGACAGGTTTGCTTAAAGAGACACCTGCCTACTCACAGTCGAGCAGCCTCTGCTGCTTTGCAAAGGGAGGTTAGTGAAGAGAAGCAGCTGCATGGCCACAGGCTGGCAGGAGGGCTGCCAACAAGCAGCAGTTTTACAAACTGTTCCTACCTACTGTCCAAGCAATAAAAAGCTGCCAGAGGACCCCATCCATTAGATGATCCTCTTTAGGTGACACCCACAAGCCAGGAACCCATGCTTTAGTTTTAAGTCCTTTCCTCTTGAGCCCAGAAGAGTTAATATCAATTTACATCTTGTAAAAAAAGTCAAGGGCCTCTGTCTGTTTTCCGTGGGTTGTCACATATCCTTTGCATAAAGTAACACTCAGCCAAGGAGGAAAGTTAAAGCATCCTTAGTAAGTTTCTTATTATTTACTTCTAAATTTCAGGCCTTCTGTAAAACTTTTCTGAGCTCTGTTACCTATAATTTCCCCTTTCTATAGGCAAGTATCTAATTTTCCTGAAGCCCCATTAGAATTTCCTCTCCTTTGAAGAGAAGTTAAAAAATGTTTGTCATTCATCACCCAGACTTACTCTCCTGCCAGGGACCATCCTTTGTTCCCACTGCAGGTCACGCTGCAATGGCAGCAATTGGCAAACCCAGGGCCTGAGTCTTGAAAATAAAGTTGAAGTAGTCATTAAGGCATCTCAATATCTATGTAGTCAAGACCTGAATACATGGGAAACAACTTTTCAGATAATGGCAACTTGGAGGATAAGTGATTTTTATTTGTTTGATAATTGAATATATTACTCTATTATAAACTCCTATTAGTCCTTGGGCAAAAATTTTTATTTTCTGTGCCTTTGGTGTTGGGATTATATGATCTCTGTGTATACAAATTATACATGAAACCAGAATAATATTTGAATTGTGTAGGTTTATTGATCAGGGATTCCCAATTTAGATTTTTATATAAAATGTCAATGTCTGTGATAAGTAACTCTTCATGAGATATCAGACACCTGCATAAAACATGTCAGGTAGGCACAGTTTGGGGTACATTCAAATAGCCTTTAAAATAATTTCTTCTTTTTTTCTTTTTCTATATTTATTTTTTTTCTAAATAAACTGGGAACCCAATTTGTTGTCCGTGAAATTACTCTGCGGACTCTTCAAGTGTATTCCTCTCAGAACTGTCCTCTTGGAACATAATTTGTTCTGAAAGCAGCATTCATCTGATTTGTCTCTATAATCATTGTTTTAGATGAGCGTTCTTCCAAGGACAAATTTAAAAGCACTAATACAGCTTTATCTGCTTGAAGTGGCCTGCTCCGTCATGGGCATTTATGAAGTTTTCCCGTCCGGCTCTAGTGTTCGCAGTAAGTAGTGCCATGTTTTTATTCTGCTTTCACAAGAGCCCTGTACTCTTTGCTCTAATATGTTAGGGAAGGTGCTTCTCCAAAGAGGGAGGATGGGGGTCTCAGAAAGATCGAAAGTGGTTACAGTTGAAGGAGAAGAAAAAGCTTTGTCAGTTGTCCAGGCTTGGTGAAATCATTATCGCATGAAAGTGACCATGAATCTTTCTATTGTACAGGTTGACAGGGGTGCATCTAAGTTAAGTTGACATGGTCAGTATATATTGTATATAGCTGTGGGGTGTGTGTGTATGTGTGTGTGAGTGTGTAGTGTATACATGTAGACATGTGATTTTTATTTCAAAATCAAGTAATTCTTGATTATAATCAAGAATAATTGAGCCCACTCTATGGAATGAACTCTGGTGCTTAGTAAACATTTAATTTAATACTAAGCAATAACAGGAATTTATAGAGGATTTTATTATGATTCCTAAGGATCCTTGTTTGTTTCCTGTGCCCCCAGATATAGAAGTGTGGATTTGGAATCAACTCCTTGTTCTATCGTTTCCTACATGTTAGAATCAGGCAAGCTACTTAGTTATTTTTACTTTATTCCTCTGTAAAATAGGAATAGCAACTTGTCAGTTATTTAAAACTTACAACAATATTGTTATGCTATCAGGGTAACTCTCAAGAAACACAAGTAATTTTACTGAACAGTATGTTTCTAACAGTGTATAGGACCCAGCAACAGTGGGATAGATGTTTATTCCTCTAGAGTACATGACTAGAAACTGTTCAGAACTGATGTGAACAATCTGGTTCTAGAAACTCAGAGATTTTTTTGGAGACAAAGTTGAAAATGTTGATGAGAGTGAGTGTTTGTCTCTTCTTCTTAACTTTGCTACCAGTTGCGATAAAGTTAATCTCAGAACAAATTCTATTGTCTTACATACACACATTAATTAAATATACATTAGTGGACAAACACAACAGTTAATACATCATTGAGGTTTGATGTAGACCAAGCTCCCAATCTTTTTCAAACAAATGATACCTCAGATGAATGATTCAGTTCACTAGAAACAGACATAACATTTCAGATGCTTATTTTATCTTTATCAGTTAGCATCGGGCAATAAAAAATTCCACCACACAAAGACCAGACTTGAGACTTTGCAATGTAGATTTAGGTACCATCTTGCTATTTGTGTTTCTCTTTCCAAAGTCAGATATTAAATTCCTACTATCCCCCAACTATGTGATGATACTTGGAGGTGGGAACTTTGGGAGGTAATTAGGTTTAGATTAAATAATGAAGGAAAGCCCTCATGTTGGGGTTAGTGCCCATTTAAGAAGAGGATTGGAGAGAGATCCCTATCCATACGAGGAATAGGAAAAGGCCAGTGTGAGTGCAACAAGGCAGTTACCTCCAAGACAGGAAGAGGAGCTTCACCAAGAACTCAGTCTGCTAACCTTGACCTTGAACTTCTCAATCTCCAAACATGCAAGAAATGTTTGTTGTATAAGCCACTTAGTCTTTGTTATAGCATGCTGCGGTGACTGAGTCACATCCCAAAGAGTACAGGTGGTAGATCTCATAGATGCTAATTCCTCATTTTATGAAAGTGAAGTATGTTTCCAAAAATATTTTATCCAATACATATCTTGAATTCTACTAATTTCACAATTGAGAACCCATTTCTGACATCCATTATGCTGATTAACAAGTCACTAAATTCACCAAATAAAATTTATTTCCAACATTAATTATGCTAATTTATCACTCATCTGGGATTTCATTAACTTTAAAGGTACATGAAGCTTTTGTTGTAGAAACCTCTGAAATATAACTTTTCTGATTTTACACTGGCTGACCATCTATGGAGTAGTTATTTTTATCGGAACAAACAACTGTCTGATACTACCAAAGAAAAGAGAAAAGCACTAATGCATACATTCATATCCCACTTTTTGCTGAAGACTTTTAAGACAGTGAATAACACCACAACAACAGATATCCAACAATTTCTTGCTCTCTCTCTTTCAGACCTATGTTTTTAATTCCTCTTTTCTAGTGAAAGTAGTCTTGCGGGGTTTGTCATGCACTGGAGCTTTTTTGCAGGTTGGTTCTTCTGTGAATCCACATCAGTAATGTATCCTTCTCCCCAACCCCACACAACCTATGCAGAAGCCAGGACTCCTGGTTACTTCCTTTCACCAAGTATTGCTCTCTGGATGAAGACCCCTGATATTTTTAAGTTTGACAATGCCATGATTATCACATGTGGCCCATGATGACCTGACATTGATCCCTACTGCCTTTTCATCAAGGATAGTAAAGAAATGTATGGGGAGAATAATCAGAGTAGAATTTCTCAGGCCAATGAACATAGTACAATTTTCTATAGCACAGAGACTACACATGGTGACATATATGATCATTCTGTTAATCCTATATCTTTACATTTCTCACATTTTGCCCACATACACCTTTAGCCGATTTGCAAATCCCTAAACTCTGAAACTAGAAAATCAAAAAGTCAGCCAGTGGCAGGAATAATTGTGCTTATGGAGAAACCTAAAATTAAAAATGAAAACAAAAAACACAACCAGGTGTAATGTAATCTAAACACATATACTGTACCTGTTCTGTTGTTTCACACAGAAATATAAACTTGGAACAGTTAGTAAAGCATGCAAATGCATTAGATATCTTTGCTGTTGCCAACATGAAATGTGCATGTCTTTTAGTGTGTGTCTGTGAGTAGGTTTAAGGAAATAAACAGGTGATACATGCCTACTTCTGCCCACTGACACCCTCTCCATTTTGGCAAGACACAGATGTTTGCTGAAGAATAGTCTTTCCTTGCCTTTTTGTTTCTCTTTCCCTCACCTTAAGATTTATATAGAAGCCATTTCCTCTTGGTTCATTCTTGCACCTAAATTTAGTGGTCCATTCTAGTTTATTTATTCTAGATGTTTCTTTTGTACCTCATGACATATGATATATTGTGGGTAGCCATGCTTTTTCACTGGCCCTTATCTTGGATTTCTTGGCATCCTAATTTTTTTTAGGTGATGCAATTTCAGGTAAAACAAAACAAAAACCTGCTAAATTTTGCTCTTGGTCCTCAATAGTGTTCACAATATCCCTAGTTAGGGTATTATTCACTGTAAACACAGCAATCACTTAGACAGCTTTTTCTAGGGGTAGAAGTAGCAATGATATGCTTCAAACAGCAAAAAGTTGAAGTTTTTGAACAATGAGGTAATGAAGATCATTGAAAATTAATCAATACCATTATTTGCATTAGTCTAGAAAACAAACAAACTTGAAAACCCTTGGTTTCATGAAATTAACCGTAATCCTTTTCTAAAATAGTGGTTCCAGTAAGTGCACCTTGGACAATTCAATGCAAGATTTAGATGTTTTTCTTTTTACACAGAAAGATACACATAATTTTACATACTGTTTTGGAAATTTACTTGAAGCCCTTTCATGAATCCCAGATTTTATACTCCTAATCTAAACATATACTGCGTTATAAATTTAGATAAAATCAAGCATTGGGGTTCTGGCTACGTGATAATATTATTTCCAATTTCTGTTTCCATAAACTGAATTGTACTTCCTAATATCAAACAAAGTCCCATTTCACTTGGTATACATTAAATAACCAAGTGCCTTTGTTTTGAGATAGACTGTTTGAGTCTTGTCCATTTGAAAGGAGACCCAAAGACCAGTATTGCTTTTGTTAATGTTAGATCACCACACTGTGGAAGACAAATAAATATAAATTAGATAATAATTAGCTTTCACTATGCTTCTTAGTGATTCTGATCAAGTGGAAAATGGGATAAATTGTGCAAGATTTTTCTCAAAATGAAGCTTTTTTTTTTTGTTTTTTGAGAGTAAATTAAGGGCCTTGAAAACTGCATTAACTCTTTGGCTAGTTTTAGTATTTCAGTAGCTTATCAAGCATTAGAAAATGTTATCCTTCACTTAGTAATTTTCTGATGCCATGATCAATCTTTTTGCTTCTAATTTCTTTCAAAATATGATGAGTTTCACTGAAATACTCACATTAATCATTTTTTAAAATGAGATTGTTGTTTTATTTTTTAAATATTAATTTTTTATTTATACAAGAGCTGGGGTACAGGCCAGAGGCGTAGGAGGGTGAGAGGATTCACCAGAGACAGAATGGGGAGCAGAACAGGCAGACAGACGGAAAGCACTGCTGAGAAGAGCAGCAGCGTGACTGGAGAGGTTGCCTTGCCATGTGGCCATAGCCCTGACCGGCCGGGAATCGAACCCGTGCTGCAGAGGCTGCGGACAGCTTCACAGAGCTGTGCTCAACCAGCTGTGCCACCGGGGAGGCCCCACATATTAATCATTTAATAATTTTAATTGCCCTGCTAAAATTTGTTTTAAACCAACATTCTTTCTACAAGGAAGAAGAAATTCAAAGTGAAATGTTAAAATACTAAAATAGCAAGTGATTTTTAGGACTTATGAATGAATAATATAATAATAACTCTAAAGCTAGCAAAATATATAACCATAAACCATAAACATAAATCTCATGTTCCCGAAAGCAGCTATGTTCACAAATATAGCTGATGAGTTGTATGTTCATTGTATGTGAATTTTGTATTGTTCAGAGTAATAGATTTAAATCATCAATGTTATGAAATAACCCAGAGGCTACCAAGTGATGAGTGTCTCTGTTCGGTACTTTAAGGAGATGAATACAGAAATGATGTATTGAGCTAGATTGATCCTTTAATCTGAATGTCTTTACTATGTGAAGGTAGTGGCTTATGATTTAAATGTCCTTTCCTGTCTATAGCGACATCAATGACCTATTAAGTAGGATTTTGAACAGTGATTCCAACAGTGCTATGAGAGATTCATATTTCCAGCCCTATGTAGTGTCAGTGTTTCTGGCTTCTGAATTATAGTGCTGTAGGTGGAGAGAAGAGACTGAGTCAGATGATAAAGTAAAAATTTCTTT